CTCTCAACCAAGCGGGTTGCCAAGCCAGTAAGCAGTATACTCTATAGCGGGCGTGGAGATGCGAGGGTCGCCCCCCCTTGCCCCACCACTTTGTGTGTGTGGAGAAATCTACCTTACCTTACCTCACCACTTTGTGTGTGTGGAGAAATTTACCTTACCTTACCTTACCTTACCTTACCTTACCTTACCTTACTCTATAGCGAGGTTAGCGATATGACCCGACAAGAACAATACTCAAAACAGCAGGCGAGATGTGAGACTACTTGAAACTGACCATGTCTAGAGACTATAGTAAAACCCGATGCCCAACATGACACGACATAATACGAGCGCGCCTGGCCAGCCTCTCAGCCGCTCTCGACCTGCGCGAGCCGCGAGAGCGCGGCGTTGTAGTAGCCGCCGCCAAAGAGGTTGTAATGGTTGAGCTGGTGGTACGCCTCGTACAGCGCGAAGCGGCGCTCGAAGCCCTCGTCCTTTGGGACCAGCGAGCGGTAGCCCTGCCAAAAGGCGGGGCCGAGCGACGCGCACCAGCTCATGCCCCACTCGGCCTCGTGGTGGCCGTAGTAGACCGCCGGGTCGAAGATGCAGGGCACGCCCTTCGCGGACGCGATGTTGCCGCTCCACAGGTCGCCGTGCAGCACCGACGGCTTGACGTCCAGCCCCTCGAACAGGTCCGCGAGGCCGTCCGTCGCGTCGAGCGTCGCCTCCCACTGCTTGCGGAGGCGCGCGTCGGCAGCCTTACGCACCTGGAAGCCGATCCGCTTGTCGCGGAAGAACTCGACCCAGGCGGCGGTCCCGCTGCCCGCGGTCCACGCGTTTGGCTGCGGCGTCGCGCCGATGGTGTTGTCGACGTCGAACCCGAACCTGCCCTCCCTCGCCTCCTTGGCCAGCGGCTCCGCGAGGTGCATCTGAGCCATCAGCCGGCCGAACTCCTCCTGGTCGACGCGCCCGCCCATGTCCATGTACTCCATGATGAGAAACGAGCCGCCGTTGGAGCCGTCTTCGAAGGCAAACACCTCTGGCACCGCCATCGAGCCCGAGGCGCCGAGCGCGCGGAGGCCGAGCGCCTCGCCGAGGAACATGGACTCGAGAGGGCGCGAGCCGGACGCCTTGACGACCAGCTCCTTCTCGTGCCCCTCGACGGCGTAGCGCGTAAGGCTGGCCCAGCCGCTGCCGCCGCCCATAGACCGCTTCGACGTGATGGAGCCCAAGTTGCTTGTGATCCACCGCTCCGCGTCACTTGCAATGCTCATCCGTGGCGTGCCGGCGCGCAGGGCGAGGGCGGCGGCGGCGACGGCTAGCGGCAGCGCGAACATGCACGATGCACCCGTCGGAGAGATGCTTCCTCCGCACCCGTCGGGAGGTGCTTCCTCCGCGCAGGAGTGCGAGAGCCTATGTGTCGGTGTAATCACAGCCCCCCCCAGGAGAGCAGAGATGCCGTCGACAACTGTCATGTCGGTAGCCGCTCTGCACCGCTCGCTGCTGGTGCGCGGTTGATCGCGGCGCCGACGCCGCCGCGGCGCCATCTCGCGCGGCGAGAGACGGCGCTGCATCGGCGCCAACCAAACAAACGGGAGGTCGCGGCGCGGCCGCGGCAGCAAAAACATCGACGTTCGCTTCTGCTTCTCGTCTCGTCTTGTCGCAGGCGCACACGCGCGCGATCCGCGTCGCTCCGCGACGACACGACCACCGGGATTCGAACCGGCAGCATAAGAGCGCCGGCTCGAACGCCGGCCGATCGTGCCACGGAGTCATGCAGGTCTTGGTGGATATATATGACTGGTTTTGTCCGCGGGCGCGAGGGCACTGCGGAGGCGGGCGGCGGCGGCGGAGGCGGCTGCAGCAGCACACGGGCTGGCGGCGGCGCGCGGACGGTGGCGGCGGCGCGCGGACGGCGGCGGCGACGCGGCGGCACTGCTCCTCTGCTGCTGATGATGACAATGATGCTGCTCCTGCTGCCCCCCCCGCCCGCCAGCTGCCCGCACGCTCGGTGTCATCTCTTCACCTTCACACTGGTCGAGTCATAGGTGCGAGGGGCGTGTGGCATGTCTCGCGAGTCTCGCCAGGGGCGCCTACCAACCTCGCTTGCGAGGGGCGTGTGGCATGTCTTGCGAGTCTCGCGAGGGGTGCCTGCCAACCTCGCTTCGCGGCGGCGGGTGGGGTAATTACTTATTTATTAATTATTATTAATTAATAACCATATAATCATCGGGCGGCGGCGCGGCGCGGCGGCGGGCGGCGCTGAGCGGGGCGGCGAGACCATCTGTGCTGACCGGGGCCTCTGCCCTTTGACGCAGCACAATGGTCGCGCCGCCCTCGACTCAAGGGGCTGCCTTCCACTCGTCGCTGCTCAGGCCGGGGGAGGGGGGGAGACCTCCTGTTCCTCACGGAACGGGAGCAGGCCCCTCCTTGCCCGGTCTGCGAAGCAGGGAGGTGGTCGTGCCATCTTCGCGTCGTACTCGAAACCACCACGCCCACGCGACACGTTCCCGTAAGGCCGGACTGTCCTCGTCGAGAGTGTGTGCCGCCAAGGCGGGACACACTCAGGGGCAGTGCCGACGGGACGCGGCTCGAAGGGTGTGGCTCCGCAGCGCGGAGCTGGCACTTGTCGCAGAGGCCTCACCTTCAAAAAGTCGGGCATGGCTGATGGCTCTCCCCGCAACTTTCTCGCTAACACGCGCGCACCGCCGAGACTGGGGCGGGCGCGCTGCGGCCGCACGTCTAACTTCGTCATAGTGCCACGACGTGCGGCCTAGATTTAGCCCACGCGCCTCTGCTCGCAAACACTCACCCATTGAATTGTCACTGTCCGTGAGTGCGAGATAGGGCTAGCAGTAGGCAGCTAGCCTCTGAGGAGGGCGTCCATAGACACCTCACTAGACCCCACACACGGTCTCGTCCGTGCCTCGCCGGACGGCGAGATTGCTAGTTGCTAGAGGTCCTTCCTTCGGGAGCCCGCCTTCCCCTCTTTTGCTTCTTCGGCCGCGGCCCCGCTGCCGTCCCGCCTCCCCCGTCTGATCCTGTTGACTCCACCTCCGGCGACCATATAAACAAATAAATAGAGCAGTCATCTCCAGGAGAGATGGGCGACGCACGAACACAGAGGCACAGTGCCCACCCCGCCCCCCGCGACCCTGCGCCCGTGGCGCTTCTTTAATTCGTGTTAGTGCCAGTGCGCGCCATAAATAAATAAATAAAACGGGCACGCCAAACGAGGGGTGGGAGAAGGACAGGGTCCCCACCTGCACGAGCAGGATCTTGTAAGGACGATCAGGGACACAGGGGAAGGGGAGCGGGGAGCAGCGCATCGCGACACGGAGGGGGGCTGGGCAGGGTTCACCCACACGACAGGGTCCCAGGGATTCCTCTCTCGTATAGGACAGGTTGCACCCGGCGGCACGGGGGCAGGCGCGGGCCTCCTACTGGTTGCGCTCTCCTAGTTCTCCTGCTCCTGACAAGGGACAGCGACAGGCTCGCAGCACGGTGGACTCCCTATTCCACTGGCGATCTCTCTCGACTAGCGACCTTCCTCCGGCTTCTCACCAGCAGTCTCTCACCGTAGAGGCGGCCAAAAGGCTCACGTGGGTGGCAGGGCGGTGATAGGAGTCTCCCACTCTGTGGGCTTCGCTAGAGGTGCGGCCCCTGCGCGTGTCCTCGCCCTTGCCGCCGCCCATGTTGTTCATGGTCACTCTGCGTACGCAATTGCTGCCGGCTATCGCCTACGGAGGCAGTGCACGCCCTGTCCGCTATATATATATAAACACAAATTTGCGGGCTGGCGGAGAGCCGGTCGGATGGGTGGCTTTAGTTACCCCATCATGATTTGTTTTTCTGTTCGTATACTTTTTGCATGCCCATGTTCTTCACCTTTCTACCTACCTACCTGCCATGTGACGCAGAGGACTGGGCAGAGTCTCTCGGTGTACACTGTACCGACGTACCCTTCGTGCTCTAATTCGTACCCGCGGGCGGGACAAGGCTGAGCAGCTCTGCTCGGACTCAGGGCCGGTGCTTTGACGCAGTATATTGTACTTCGAGGTAGTATGAACTCAGAACGGCCCCCCGAGAGCGCCTCTTCGACGCCCACGGGTCCCAGGGGGTCGGAGGGGTTGCGGGAGGGCCTTGGCTATTTTTTGTTTGAATTCTGGAGGCCGTTCAAACATGCCCGTCCCCAGCAAGGACAACATGCTAGCCCAGCAGGCTGCTCCCACCGCCGCCCGCGGCGTAGGCAAGGCGGCAAAGGGTGCCCTCGCCGCCTTCGTAAACCATTCATCGGCAGCTTGCAGCACCTCTCGACGGCGCGGCTGGAGGTCGATCTCGGTCTGTACCCCTATCAGCTTCACTAGTAGGGACGCTGCCTCGTCGATCGCTCGAGCCCTCACTCGGTCCTCAGTCCCCCTCACCCGCGCGGCCTCGATTGCCGTCTGTTGAGCGGCCAGCACCGCCTCTCTGGACACCCGCGTCGAGGGGAGAGCCAGCGTCGTCATTGGACATTGCTCTCGCCACCGCTGGCCACTCCCGCACTTCGTCGATGAAAGCCCTACCCCGGCCCGAGTACTCCTCGTTGGCCGTCAGCAGATCTCGGAATCGGCCCTGCCGTTCCACCCCCATGGGACTCCGCCTGGGGCGCACCGCTTAGGTAGGTAGGTAGGTAGGCCGCTGGCCAATCCCCACTTTCCCATTAATTCTTTTGCAAAAGAACCCCCGCGCCGGCGCTTCGCCACTGCCAGCGCCAATGGCCAGCGCCAGCGGCAGCGCTCTCGCCGCGCCCACCACCGTCCGCACCAGCGTGCACTTCACCCCGCTCCGCGGCTCGTCGGGCGGCGCAGCGCCCTCCGGGCTCCTCGAGGTGGACGGCCTCACACTCCTGCTCGACTGCGGCTGGGAGCCGCCGTTCGACGTGTCCGTGCTGGAGCCGCTGCGCGGGGTGGCCGCGCGGGTGGACGCGGTCCTCCTCTCGCACGGCGACCTCGCGCACGCTGGAGGGCTCGCGTACGCCTTTGCGCGGCTCGGCCTCTCCTGCCCCGTGTATGCGACGCTGCCCGTCTCGCGGCTCAGCAAGCTGGCGCTCTACGACGCGCACGAGGGCGTCGCCGAGCAGTCGGCGGCGGGCGCGCCCTTCACGCTCGACGAGATCGACGCCGCGCTCAGCCGCGTGTCCGAGCTCAAGTACTCGCAGACCGTCCTCTTGTCGGGCCGCGCCGCCGGGCTGAGCCTCACTCCCCTCCCGGCGGGCGGGTCGCTGGGCGGCGCGATGTGGCGCGTGAGCAAGGCGCTCGAGGAGGTCCTCTTCCTCCCCCGCTTCTCGCACCAGAAAGCGCTCCTCGCCGCCGCCGCTGCCGCAAGGCCCGCACCCTTCCCGCACCCTTCGCGCACCCCTCGGTAGGAGAGGCTCCTCGCCGCCGCCGCACTCGAGGAGCTGCCTCGCCCGACCCTTCTCCTCGCCGACATCGGAGCCGCGCGCGCAAACCCGCTGCCGCGCAAGGCTCGAG